GCGTCGGCTGTGCCAACGACATCCATGACTCGATGGCCTCCGCATCTTGCGCAGCTCGCTTTGCAGCCATGGTCTTTGCATTGGCGGCAGTCTCTCGGCCTGTTGAAGCCGTGACTCTCTTCAAGACCCAAGAAGCAAGCCGCACCATTCCACACCTTCCAAGTCCTCCCGGAGCTTTCGACGTTTTGCATCCTCTTGCGCATGTCGCACCTGGCATCGCGGACGGCGGAATCTGCCCTCACGTCAGGAAATCTACCGACAGCTTTCTGCTCCATGACCTCCAGATCGTGAGCAGCTTTGCGCTTCCTGCCAGCCCGTGGCAAGTTCCCGGTGCTGAAGGTTCATGTTGCAGCCTTGCCAGAGACCTGCACCCAGTCCTGTCAAGTTCTGACCGGCGAATCGGGTCCAACCTGAGCGAATGATGATAACTTCAATTGTAAACAAACATGCAGCAACAGGCATGTGATGATCTGACACGGAATCACCCCAACTCTTACCGCACTGCCGCAGACAAGGAGCAGCAGATCCTGACAGAAGTGAGCTGCTTTGCTGACAGAAAGACTGAATGCTCCAAATCACCAAGAGCACAGATAGCACAGCATACATAACAATTCATCTACTATTTCAAGCGTCCTTCGCCCGAGTCAGCCGATCAAACTTTTCTGCTGCCTGAACGACACACCGTGGCTGGAAGCAGCAGTGAGTCTGGACATCTACATGCTAAGCCTCCGGATCATCTGGATGCCCTTGGACACATGCCGAGCAACACAAGCATCTTGAAAACCTAGTGACCTAGTAGACTGTTGAAGTATTGATGGTATCTGCACCATGCCGAGTGGCTGTCTGGGTGGCACTTCAAAGAGATTTTGCGGTAGGCGGTCTGCATGCAAGTCTCTTGTCTGTCATTGTGACATGTAGCGATGCCACAGTGTCACATGGTCGAAGAGAAGTGTTCGGGATTCTGGCCGAAAACATTCAACAGCACACGACGGGATAACTGAGTTTCAGGTCCCGCTTCGCACTGGGCGAAGCCTTCTGATCACGAATCCTGCCGTTGTCCTCTCCCCTTGTAGCACGACAGCGTGCACAGCAGGTGAACACCGTCCTTGATCTCCTTTTCGCCAGCATCGTCTTCCACTTGAAGCAACTCGTAAGGATTCTCCAAGTCATCGTCCTGCCAGTGACCGCAGGTTCCGATTTCAGATGACAGTTCAGGTAGCGAGCTTTCCAGTCCTTGCTCTTGCCCACGGCGGCACCGCCATCGCCCATGGCCAGCTGCTGAGAACGTTGCACAGTTGCTGAAAGCTTGCTTGAAGCAGTTGGTGCAACGATCTGTAAACGTGAGCTAGCTGCAGCATCCAAGTCCGAATCCAAGCATCGAAGCGTGAAGTGGCATACTATAAACCGAACATACATCCTGTGAGTAGGATGCGGCAGCAGTTGTCAAGTATTTCAGCCTTTGCACTCGCGACTCAGCAGAAATGACATCGACAGCCGGCCCGCGCCTACCAGTAGAGACCCGACTCCGGCCCACCCCTTTTCCCTGCCCCGCCTGTTCCGACAGTCTTTTCTACGTGTTTCATAGTCAAAGTGACTTCCCTTGTCACTATACACCCTTGAATTCTGAGGCCTAGCGACGAGAAGCTGGGAGAGGTGCAACATGATGGCAGGACCGAGAGAAGCTCTAGGACTCCTTCGTAGAATCGCTTGTCGGCGTGAGCGGGCACCTCCGACGCATTGAAAAGCAATGAGCTGTGGAGGGATACTTTGGATTCGTGGTATCTGTGGTCTTGCGCCGCCCCTTCGACTTGGCCTCGATGGTCGTGACCGGCATTGCAGGTTCAGTCAATGTCATCACCGGCACCTCAGCAAGACGTCCATGGCACAACATCAACTGGGAAGGCAGCCCTTGCGATGGCGGACCGCTGAACTGCAAAAAGAATTCTCGACAACTGCAACACATGCAATGTTTCTGCCCCGCGTGCCTGCACAAACGCAAGCACGTGCAAGCACACACCATGAACAAACAACAGTGGCAATAGGTGTCTTCGAAGTTGCTCACATTCATCAAGGAATCGTTCGGTGGGACATCGACCCCGCTGTCGGAGGCGGAGTTCAAAGCAGCGGCGGCTCTCGGAGAAAAGCGAAATTACGTCGGGATGATAATGTGTGCTGAAGCGCTCACTACGGCACCCCAACCCGAGTCAGGGTTGAGCCAGACCCCTAAGCCACTATGGCTCCACAAGGCTCCATGCTCTTTCTCTCCGTCTTTCCACAAGCGGGTTCAGGGCAGTGGCAAGCCCACCCGATGCCATTTGTGAGCGAAGTACGTGCCTGCGCAATACCTATGGAATCCTGCGGGCCTCCAAGTCCCGTGTTGGTGCGCTCCGAGTGCCACAACAACAACAATGCCTGGTGCACCGTCCCAGCACCTCTCCCTGTACATGTAGGACAATTACCGCAATTAGCATCGAGGCGATGTGTTCCAGACTCGATCGCGAATGCCGATGCAGCGCCCCGGCAAAACTCGGCTGTTGCTCGTCATGTGGGCGATTCTTTTCGTCGTTTACAGATACACAGACAATTGAGCACACGCCATACACAAATGCAACCTGAACAGATTCATAATTCATACACACACGACTAAACTAAAAGGCATAAACAAGGAAGTATACACACATAAACATACATACATATTTACACACATATATATATGTATATCTGCACATGCATTTATACATGTACAGATATTCCAATAGATATGCACAACCATAAACACATGCATGAACAAATAAACGAAACACCTTATGTGCGTATGGGTAGGTACACATATATATATACATATATATATATATATATATATATCTACATATATATATACATACATACATATATATATATATATATATATATTCACTGTTTTTATACCCGCTCGCCCACCCTCCCCCAAGATCTGCGCCTGGCCTCTTGCGACCTACTTGTCCATTTTTCACCCGAGACTTCAAAAATATCTGCCCAAGGCCAATGGGCACGCAAGTGGCACGCTGGAGCTGTCTGGGGTCTTCTTCGTGAGTGCAGAATCCTTTCCCAATAAAACCAAGAAAGATCTTGTTTCCCAGTACTAACACTTTCTGCACCTGGAGTACTTAGCTTCGAGGCATCTCGTTATGGGGTGGAAGAGAGGGTGTGGATCTCGGGGTAGGATGTGAGGGGGGCGTGTGGGGTGAGGGCTTGGGGGAGGGGAGGGGGGGGGGGTGGGTATAATATAAGATATATACATGTGTACATGTAACGATACATATATATTTATATATATATGTATATATATATATATATATATATATATGCATATATATATATACACACACACACTCTCTTTTTTTGCATGTGGCGTATCTCTTTATGTGTACGTTTAGATTGTCTCGCAGATGACATTGTACTGCACTATGTTCTACTGTATCTTACTTTGGTACGTTACATCATACTATACTATAGCAAATAAAGCTACAACTTGCATTATACTTGAGAATATTCTACATCTTATGTTCGGTGTTCATACTGAACTATACATTATGTGATATGAGCTGATATGAATGCACATTACAGTGTTTAGTATACTAAAAGTCTGCGCATTGTAGTTCGCTGTGGTGTATGGCATAATTCATACGAGCTGTATGTTATAGGCTTTATGCAGTACTTCATTGCCATAGTTTTCCGACTTGATATTACATATTACATATTACAGACTACATACTGTATGCTTACATGTGAAGGTAGGTCTAAGGTAATCTGCTTGCAATCCAGCACATTCTAGAATGTACGAGCTTGCATAGTCGAATGTCATCTACTCAACTCTCATCTAACGCATCTAGCCGAACGACATCCAACCCACCATGTCTAATCTAGTCGAGTCCGATCCAATCTAGTCTAACCCAATGCAAATTGATCTGTTGTAGCATCATGTACTAACACCATACAGTGTAACAGCATGAAAATCACATAATGTTGTATAAGTTCAACATAAGGATGCAGTCGAGCATAAAAGACTATACGGCAACATGTTTAGTTTCTAGTATGTAACCCATACTGTGTAATATGTAACATGTGCTCAATGTTTATTTTATCAGCAACCTGCATTGTGATGCCGTATGCTTTCTTATGCTGCGCTCGGTTTCAATATACGATGTCATATTATACCCTGTTCTATGGTGCTGTGTTATGCCGTGCTATGAACTATTATGCTATAGTGTACTTACATGGTGTTAAACATATTTATAAGTGCCAAGCCATAACATATATATTTACTATGCTATCTCGGTTTCGTATAATGCGCAAAATACACAAACACATAATTTCAACTATGTATGCGTCTATTCTTGTTCCAATGCATACCTATATGTATATATGTATATCTATATATAGAGTAGTATACAACTATAGTATATATCTATATATATATATATATATATATAGATTGTATATAGCTGTAGGAGCGCATATCTTTAAACATATCTACATACAGAGACACTAGGCCCATCCTAGATTTCTCTCGCCTCTCCCGGCGCCAATCCATGTCGCCTGTCTTTGAAGGGATCCTCGCCATGAGCAAAATCAGGGCAGGCAGGAGCTGCAGGCGATCTTGACTGTTAGCATACTTCGCGGGCGTCCGACAGCTCGTAGCAGTCTCAATACGCAAAGTCGCGGCATGTCCTCCACCTCCCCCTCATCCAGGATAAGCTGCGCTGGCTGACCCGGCACGATCCTCAGCACATGTTGAAAAGAATGGCAAGTGCCACAACCGGAGTGAGCTCGAGGAGTCTCTCGACTTGGTATCCAAGGCCGCTTCACTGCCATGGGTCCCTGTTCTGGCAGGCCCTCGTCCGAGCCAAAGACTGCGGGCAAGGTCTGTATCCGAATATATCCGAATCCAGTCCGCGCACCACGACTGAACCGCGGCCTGTTGCAAATGACACACTTTTTCGGCAAGCAGTGTCTTGTTCTCACATAAAGTCGTCGGCATCCTCCTGTCATCAATCTAATTACATCAGAGCTTGAGCCGGAGCACCAACAGTCTTTAGTTGGGACATGACCGACGACTCCAGCGACCACAATGAACGATGCCTTTCCGGCAGCCACATTTTACTTACGAACCCCTGCATCGCATTGCCCCACGAGGATTTATAACCCCAGCCTGCGGCAGCTTTTCCTTCTCCTCTTCAGCACCGGCGTCGCTGAGTCCCGCATCACTGCGGCAGTATATAATTGCACAAAAGCCAAAGAGCAGGGTAAGATGAGCAGAACTCATACAAAACAGCCTGTCGATGTCGCCAATTTCTGGCAGCGGGAAGCGCAGGATGCCGGCGATGCCGCTGAGTTGCTGAGCGCAGACAGCCAATGATTGCACAGCTGTCATGATGAATCATTCATGATCTAATCTTTGGAATGCCTGAGTTGCCTTTATCAAGCTTGAACTGGCATGGACTGGCCTGAAGCTGCTCGCCGCTGACGTGCTGAGAAGAGAAAATTTGGCAGCTAGTGCCCTGCAGGGATTCTGATTCTGGCTTGGCTTCGTCAAAATCGGTGTGTAAGCATGGACCTGCTTCCCACGCTTTGCCATAGCACTCGAAAGATCCAACATTGTACAACACGTGGTAACAGCAACCTGATTGTCATACTCTGGAGCGGATGTACAACTGAGTCACGGGGTCAAGGCGAACCATGTTCAAGCTTGACCATCCAGCCCTACAACCTGACAATGCACATATGTCACATACGTGAGGTCAAACGCTTCTTGATTTGTCCTCCTGGCCTCAAGCAAGTAAAGAAGTAGGATTCGAGACGTGCAAACCCAACTTTATGTTCTGAAACAACAGTCACACAAGAGAGGACAAGTCATAGTGGATCGGACTGTGAGACGCAGATGCTGGGAAATAATTAACAAACATTGCGCTTTAAACCACGAGTCCGGGGATGGTCTTCGGTAGTTAGTCCAATGGGGATGCGATTCGGCTTCATGAGAAGAACATATTTTGGGTTCATGAAGCCTAAAACTGCTTGAAACAAACTAAAGGGCAGGAACACGCAGAAAACGACAGAAAGCATTGGTTCTGCGCATTTGGACCTGTGGAGTTCCGTTTCTGCGCCTTGTCTCAGACAGCTCGGGCAGCTGGATGGATGTGTCCAGTGGTCGAAACTACTTGTTTTGTAGCCGGATCATGGACAAGGGAGAATTGAGCACTCGTGAAGAAACAACACTGGCTGCGCGATTCCTTCCATGACACACCTTAAAAAAAGCAAAACAGGCAGCCAGGCCGACTCCCCGTGCGCAAGAATGCTTCCAAGTACTCATGCAACATGCAATCCTCGGGCAAGTGTGGCCTGGCCTGGTCTCTCGCAGTCTCAACCATGTCAACGTACCTGGGAAACTTACTCCCAGTACCAGGCGCGGATCGACGGGTTTCAGCATTCGTTTGCATGTCCTTCGTTTGCCCCGTTCCCACCCTCCCGCACTGTCTGCGCAACTTCACGTTCGCATTCCGAAACAGCGAATCCACCACCTGGCAACACAAGAGCATGCTAGTCCCAATCGCGGCCCGGGGATGCGGAAAGGCCCGAAAAGCTCTCAGCTCCAGCACCATCAAGGTTTGCACTGCACACTTCTCGACGGCTTCATGGACCTGAACTTCTGCGTGGTATCTCGTAACGTTTGCTTCGGCGTGGTACGGTTGTAGCATGTCGATGTGGCCTGCTTGGGACCGTAGCAAACTCGATCAGGCCTCGATTCAACAAGCACTGAGAAGTGCATTTCCGGCTTCCAAGATGTAGACGCCCCAGGACCATCAAGCACAGTACTCCTTTTGTACCATCATGTAGAACTCCTCCAGCGCCTTGCTCTAGGAAGCATCAACACACGTACATGTAAAGGCGGCATTCCTGGCCTTCAAGTGAGCTGCAGCCTTTGTGTTGGCGATGCTTTTTTGGACCTGGTGTAAAAGCCGTCAACCATCCAACCACCACATCTTCGCGGGTCTAGCAACCAGTCTGGCAAAGGCCTGCTCGTCTGCGAGCAATTCCTTCAGTGCCTGCTTATGCCTCGGAAGACGGACGCATGCCTTGCCAGCGTACTGAGTGTGCAAGCTCGTGGCACACAGGCCCGCAGCTTGGTGCAGAAGGAAGGTGAAGGATCGTGCAACCCACAGAGATCCACAGCATCCCACAGCTGTCAATGGCACTGCGCAGTGAACAATCTGGCACTTCCAGCACACACCCGTGAAATGGGGCCAAAGGGGGGGTTCGGCACCAGAAGAGACCTGTTAAGCAGGGTTTGGAGGTCAGACACAAGACGCTTCTCACCGCTTCTCCGTGGTCTTTGCTTTTCAATCGTTCTAGGCCCGGAGCTTCTGCCTTGCGGTTTTACTGAGCATCAGTACCAAAGGCTGCAGCTGTGGCTGCAAACTACGTGACATCGCACCAGTTTACTGTCGGCTACAGTAATTGCTGCCACAGCTGCACACAGGATGCGTGGACGGAGACGAAGCTGCTCTTCTTCTGCAGAATCTGCGTATCCCTGAGCGAAACAAGCAAAGACCACGCTCTGCTGCTCTGCTTCCTTAAAGCTTTACTAACACGGCCATACCGGCCACCTTTCCGACTTTTCTTCAGCTCGGCCAACGGGCCATGGCCATGGCCTACGTGTGCTGATGGCACTCTCAGTGCGGTACCCCGACTGGGTCGCTTTTTGAAGCATCCACACCAGAAAGTCGTCCTTGCAAAGTTTTACCACTACGTGTACGGTTTCACGGACGACTTTTAACGACATGATATACATGATGCAGTATCAACACTGGCAGATGTCTCCTTTACAAAGCCTGGACCGGCCATCAGCACACACTTCACCAAATCCAGGTTGATGTGGTCTTTGATGCCCTGATACACCTGCTGTCTCTCTCACATGTCTGACCGGGGGAAGCGTGACATCGTCGAACGAACGTGTACTATCTTGCGCTGACCCACTGTATCCTCTCAGCAGGGTTATGTCACTGCCTAGCTACGCAGGGTGAGTTCACCAGCACGCTCAGGCGCTGCTGCCTGCTCGAAAAAGCGTACCAAAGCTTTGTCGTAGTTCGTCGTTGTTGCCTCCAGCATTCGTGAGCATCTTAACTTCTGCAGCGCCCTGTGGCTGCTGCGAATGACTTTGGCGCCGGCCCTTTTCTTTGGCAGCGAAACAGAAACCCTGTGCACATCTTTTGCCAGGACCTGGAAGTCATGCAGGCGATTGATGTCGCTCTGCATGTGAGCGCCCCCCTTTGTCAAGACCCACGCGGCAGTGAGAAGATGGAAGTTGGCGATGCCCGCCTGCCGAAGTTCCGGCTTTGCCAAGGCTTCGAGTTCAAGTCCGAGACAAGCACGGGATGTTATGGGCACACATCACGCAAGCCCGTGACGGCCGAAACATTTCCAACGGTGGCATCCAAGGTCTGTGTCATGCACGGAATGTACTGGAATCCCAACACTGGCCCAATGTTGCTGATTTTCAGACGGGCAAGCCGCGCTGTTGCATCTCCGTGGCGATGGCCTGTGCTGCTGAGAAGAGACTTGCAAGCAACTTGCCAGGAGCCAGACATTGCAGGTTGCCAAACACGCGATGATATCTGTGCTGACAGGAAGGCAAGCCTCCTCCGCGCCGGCAGTTGAAGAGCTGCGGCTCAACTGAAACGCTCCTCCGAAAGCTCAAGCAAAACAACCAGTGATTTGAATGCTGGATGCGCAATCAATGCTACCGAAACTTGAGAATCTTGAGACCAGAGCGGACAGAAGCAGAGTCAAGTGGCAGCTGTGTGCTGCAAACGTGGTGCTGGTAAGCGAGTGTGATCGATGCAGTGCTCCTTCAAAGAAAGAACTAACTAAAAAATGACGAATTCACGACGGAACTGCTGGGGCGGCGTGTTAAGGCATGCCAAAAGGGAAAAGGGACAACACCGCATTGACACGCTGCAAAAAAGAAGGCACGCCAAGTGCCAAGAAGTCACAACAATGCAAGCCAATCCCCAAGTCCACGCGTGGAAAATGCAACATCCAGAAACATAAAAACTGTGCGTGCCTGCGTGTTCCTGTGGTTCCGGGCAGGTGCAGGGGACAATCAAGGCCAATAGTTGGAGGTTTAGGGCGGGCACATACAGTGTGTGGGGTTGCTTTACCAGGGCTCTTAAACGCCCTGAGTCCCCGCGCACACTCTCCCGCGAAGTAGCTTGGAAGCCATAATGGCAATCCCCACGCCCAGGAAAACTGCCCTATCAAGCTCAACATCTCCGTGCGCTAACACGTCAAAGCCAAGATGCTGGTACAAGCAATCACCATGTACACGCGCATTCGATGCAGCTTTTCATGAACGTAGTGCAGCTGAAGGGAAAGCACTGTTAGAATCGGTTCCCCATGTGCACGCTGATTATGTTACGCCTTTTGGCGCGCGGCACGCCTTAACACATGACCCAAGTAACTGAACTAATCAAGTATCAAGGACGGAACGAAAGAAATAGCTAGGCTAGAGCTAAAGAAAGAAAGCCAGAACGATATAAGGAGAGCGAGAAAGAATACATGAACGAACAAAATCAAGACGGAACGACAAAAAGAAAGCACGAAGTAAAGACAAAAAAACCGATTTACACAGCGCCAGCCGTAGACATTCCAAGCCTCAAGTGCGTGAAACAAGAAACGCCTGATCCAGGTGCTCCTGACATCCGATCTTGGTACGACTATGCTGCAGTCGCCTATACCAAAATGCATGTCGCTGAGCATGTTGCTGTCTAAAATCAGCAGGGCTGAACTCTTGCTGCCAAGACTGGTTGCACTGAAGCGGCCCTGTTTTGTTTGAGGCTTCGTAGGCATGCATCAGCCTCGTGTAAATGCTTTATCGTGCTGGGTGAGGTTGGTTGGTGTTCATGTAAACAAGAAATGTGCAACAACCTCACCGGGAGCAGACGTTCCACGATTCCTGGGTTGTGCAAACCTCTCGGTGAAGCAGAATCTTCTTTTGCGGGATGCATATTATCCAAGACAGCTTAGGCAGGGAGCTTTCATCTGAACATGCCTTGGAATCAGCCGCTCGGCTTCGTCTAAGGCGGTTTGCTTGAGCCAGTGAGTAGATGTATGCGTAATCGAAGCAGGCGCAACATCTTGTGGGATGCCGGCACCCCGCGTCGCATGTAGTTGGAGCCTGGCGCGTACGCGCCCCTGTGTTTTCCTTCACTTTTCAGCCGTTCGACTTGGTATTTGCGACGTTTCCGTTATTTCGGGCACTTCAGATTTTCGAGGCCTTTTCAGGGGGTTGCAAATTCGTGTTTTTCTGCTTCGGAGGTTTTGCTCAGTCTTTCTTGCTTCGGGGATGAGGGGTTCGGGGATGAGGGGGGGGGTAGGGGGGGGTGGGGGGGGGGTTAATAACGTTCAGGTCGCAGTGTTGCTTCTGCTGTTAGCGTCGAGGGGTGCAACGCAGTCCGACAAAAGAAGATGTGCAGTTGCTGCCGCAGAAAGCCGAAGAGAGACAACGACACAAACTACTTGCGAGTTGAGATGAGCCCTTTTGCAGTCTTGAAACTCCCTGAACTCCGAATGTATCGCCCCTGCCAGTGTTTGCAGCACGTAAACATTACCGGAAGTGCTTCCCGTTACACGGGCGCCAATGCGCCGCGCACCATGTAGTTGGAGTGCGACGCGTACCCGCGCGTGTAGTTTCAGCCACTTTGGGCACTTTTTCGGGTTTGGGGGTGGGGGGTGGGGGGGGGGGGGATAATTACGTGCTTTTGGACTTCTGCAAGCCCAGAACGCCTAAGCTCGGTTTCAGGTTGATGGTTTAGGGTTTCGGGCTTCGGGTGAGTGGATGCTGCTTGCAAGTTCGACTCTCGATAACCCTGAAGCCCAAGCCTGACTCCAAGCTGACGCTTTCCTACACCGGGGCTTTACCTGAACCGCAGCCCTAAACCCTGAGCACAACTTGGGTTCAGTGCTCCACTTCTTCACTCCTCTGCGTGCCCGACGGGGCTTGGAGCATGTCAACCCTCAACCCCAAACCGTCAACCCTGAACCCTAAACCATAAACCCCTGAAGCTTCTACACTCGCCTGGAAGACAACTTGGGTTCAGTGCTCCACTTCTGCACTCTGAAGCATGCCCGAGGGGGCTGCGAGAATGCCAGACGACGAAAAGGCCATTTTCCGTAACAACTACTTGCGAGCAAGTACTCAAACAGCTTACCCCCCGATGTAGGAAAAAATTGCCCGATGTGCTGAAAACCCCTCCCTGCCGATGTTTGCTGCACGTCCATCACCCATTTCAATGCGAGCAAGTAGTCAAGTAGCCTCCCCCCTAAAATAGGCATGCGTTGCCCGATGCGCTGAAAACCCACCCCTGCCGATGTTTTCTGCACGTCCGTTGTTGAGAACATGCCTTTTGTACCACGTGCGGGAATCAACCGCGAACCATGTAGTTGCGGAGGCTCGAGACGATGGGAGAACTGGGAGAAGAGGAAGTGAACAATTTAGTTCGCGTCAGCCGCTTCACCAAGAATCAGTACTCGTTCCAGCGCAAAGGGAATGTGCATTTTCGGATTTTGATGTAACGGCATACTTTTGAACCCGTGGCCCAAAGCTTGTTGAACTGCTCCACGTCCGTGCGGAAGGAGATTGAAACTCCTTGAAGACATCGATTCAGTCACGCTGCAAGGGGATGCTGACAGGGAACAATCCATGCCCTTCTGGCCCAACTTGAAAAGATCGTGTTTAAGCCTAGCTCGGCGGCTTGAGCAGGCTGGCGTAGCGTGGTTGTCGGCTGTCGGATGAGGACCAAACCACCGATGGATAGATCAGATGCACACGGTATATAGGCTTGGCTACTGGCTTGGCTCAGGCAGGGGGTTGTGTCGGGCTTCATGCAGAACTGCACACATGCAGGACATTCGTCGGCAATATAGGCCAGAACACAGCGCAAGACAGATCAACGGTCACTGATGTTGTGGCTTGGACCAGTAGATTTGTGACCGCCGATGGCGTGGAATCATTGGGAATGATCAGATCATTTTTCCTGTGAGAAACCTGAGAGTTGTTCTGTGAGAAACCTGTAAGAAATAATATCCGATTGCTCAGGGTCTGTGAGAAACGTTGTGAGAAACCTGTGAGGGAAGGGATTCACCGGCCGTACCCAAACCCCAGCTGCTTACAGGTTTCTCACAGCCCGCTCACAGGTTTCTCACAGCTCGGACCTGGGAACCCCCTAAACTTTAGACAAGACCCTGGAAAAATGTCACTCTCAAATACTTAGCGGCTAGCGGCCTTCCAGATTTCTCAAGGATTCTGTTTTCTCACCAGTTTCTCACAGGCTCCTCTCACAGGCCTCCTCCGCTCACAGGTTTCTCGCAAGTTATAATTCTTTTGCTCCACTCCAGTCATTCCAAGACCCGGCGGTACAGCAGTAGACAACAACACTGCAGATTCAGCTATCAGTATGCATGCTGTTCCACCAGCTTCTGCATTCACGAGTGCGTCCGAGGGGCGCTTCAGATCGTGCAGTTCATCCTCCGAAGCCAATGCCAGAAGAGCCGAAGAGGTCTTCGAACCTTGCAACACACCGTGGGGGGAGAAAGGGCACAGCAAGCAATGTGGTAGGAGCCTGCCACCGTCGAGCTCAGAATCTGCAAGAGGTCTTCGTCCTCTTGACCTGCACGGCCCAGTTCTGCAGTTGCCGCCTCGGCCAGAATTGGAAAGAATCTCCTTTGGGTTTGGCTCTCTCACACGGTGACACGCTCCGGCGAATGCTCCAGAGCATCCTGCACAAAGCTCTTCTGAGGTGCCAGCTGCGGCCAGTGCCAAAGCTTTCGGCTCCGGAAGCCGACCTCCGTGCTGGCCCAAAGGCGCTGCATGCGTCTGAAGCATCAGAGCCCTTGAACTTTAGCCCGGACCGATCAATCCAGTGACGTCTTTGCCCGAGGCTGTGCCTTTCATCGTATGCGCTTCTTCCCACTCTGCGGCAGATGGCAGACTCAAAAACCAACACCTCGACGCTCAACGTCCTGCTGATAGTCGTTCAGCATGTGTCGTAATAGCCTGAGAATCTGAAACGGCTGGAACGTTTGCGAGCTTAGAGACATGCCTGAGTGTATCATCACGTATCATCCCAACAAGATGCTACCCAGGCGCTCGGTCATCAAATGGCTAACTGCCACTGCTAGTTCGGCGGACTTGTGTGACTGGGCCTCGAGAAAAGGGAAGAAGAGGCTCCTGCCGTCTGAATGTCAAGCGCCGAGGGTCTGGCCGGCAGAAGGCTCAGGCAGTGAAGCAGCTCTGCCAAGGCAGCAAAGCCCCGCGTCGCCTCTCTTGCTCTCGATTGCAGCAGTTCCCTCTAGCTGACGGCCCGGACCTGCTGAGGACGTGCGAAAGCACTAGGCGACGGGCCCTTCAATGCGAAAGCTAAAGCGCAATCGAACTGGTTGGGCCTTTGCCGGCCTCTGTGAGCTGATCGAGCTTGAGAGCCAATGCAGCACAAATCCGGCCTCGCAACGGATGCGGCTCCTACAGCTCCTACTCCTAGTCCCACCGCGACTGCTGCCTGCCACTGCCACTGCCACTGCCACTGCCACTGCCACGGCCACGGCCACGGCCACGGCAACTACTACTCCTACTGCTACTCCTACCGCTACCGCTACTGCTACTGATACTTCTGCTACTGATACTACTGCTACTAATTCCACTGCTACTACGACTAATGACTAATGCGACTTCGACTACAGTAGCCGAAGACTAAGCCCACGGCCGTGCACAAGGCGTGGATTGTAGTGGTCTAGCCGCACTAAAGCAGCAAAAGCACGTACCTTTGCGAAAGCAGGCACCTTTGCTGCACCCTGTGCACTGCGGCTCGTGTGCTCGGGGACAAGCAGAGCTTCAGATGGAGCACCAGATCCTGGGCAGCTAAAGCAGAGGCAGAGCCGCTGAGCTGCTCGGCGATGGCTGCCTCAGCAGTGAGTTGAACCAACCGAGGCAGCATGAGAATAAGAACCACGAGTACCTTCTAGCTACTTACTACGACCACCAGTACTTCATTCTGCGTCTTCTTTTGTTGCCATTGCCACCAAACAACAACAGTGGTAGCAGCAACAACAACAACAACCACACAGCCAACTACGGCAACTGCCTACTACACCAACTGCACGAACTACACACACTACACCTGCTGCTACAGCTGCTACTGAGCTTTGTTGCTACAACTACATCTGCTACTACTACTGCTGCTACTAATGCGATGGTTACGGCAACAACAGCAACAACCACTACTACGATGACGACAACGCCTGGTTAACTACAACAGCAGCAGCAACAACAACCGCAGCAACAGCAACAGCCACAGCAACAGCAGCAGCAGCAACAGCGACAGCAACAGCGACAGCATCAGCAGCAGCAGCAACAGCTACAGCAACAGCCGCAGCCACAGCTACTGCAACTCCAACTGCAACTTCTATTACTTCTCTTCCATCTGCTCCTACTCCTACTCCTACTCCTGCTACTACTACTACTACTACTACTACTACTACTACTACTACTACTGCTACTGAGCCTACTACTACTACTACTACTACTACTACTACTACTACTACTACTACTACTACTTCCACTGTTGCCCCCCACCAAAGTGGAATCGTCAGGGGGGGGAAAGATAAGTGGTCATCTTGGTTTGCACGCAGACGAGGCGGCGGGAGCAAGGATGGCCGGTCAGCTTGGTAATCTTGGCTTGGATATTTTCAGACTGTTCGGGGGGGAGATCTTGCAATCTTGCACCATTTGCACCCTTTGTACTGCCAGGACCACACAAGCATCAAGATTACCAAAACAACCACCCCCGCAACCCTCGCCCACCAGGGCCGCACGTCGCCGCAAAGGATGCGCGCGCCGCGGGCCGGGCGCATCCCTAAACTGACTGATACTGATACATGTACTGCTACTCATACGAATACTCCTACTAACTACTAACCCTAAACCCCTAAAACTAAAACTCATACGAGTACTAACTGCTAACCCTGAACACCCGAACCGATTCGAGCGCCGGGCGCGCGCAACCCTAAACCCGAAAAGCCTAAACCCTAAAAGCCCCAAACCCCATAGTACGAATACTCACTACCAACCCTACACCCCTAAACCGATGCGCTCGCCGGACACTAATACTAATATTAATGCTAATACTGATACTAATACTAAAACTAGTACAATGCGAATACCAATACTAATACCCAACTACTAACCCTGAACCGATGCACGCTCAGCCCACGTAACACTAAAACTAATCCTACCTACTAGCCTTGAACCCCTAAACTGCTGATGCTAATAATCATTATTACCATGTTTGTTAGGATGCTAATACTCATATCAATCCTAATCCTAATACTGACTCCATAAACCGATGCATGCGCCGAGCGCACGTAACACGAATACGAATATCAAACCTAAGTACTCTAACCCTAAACTCCGAAACCAAACCGATGCACTCGCCGTGCGAGTGTAACCCTAAACCCTAAAACAGTAAAAGCCCGAAACCCTGCAATACTACTGCGAATGGTCATACTAACTTATCCTACGTGCAGAGGCAAACTCTGAGCACAGAAGCCTAGCCAACGATGTGGAATCAACACATAAAATCGGGTATGTTAGCCGCGGGAATGTGAAAGATACGGGATATAGTCTACCCTTAAAACTATTAGACTGCCTGTAACATAAAGATGCGTATGAGGGTAGTCATGAAGCGTGGGCCTGTAATACGTCTTTTAAACATGTGTGTGTGTATATATATATATACATACAGATTGGGCTAGAACTTGATAGGTGCGGCTGGGCAGCATGCCTCAAGGTTGCGGTGCTGCTCCGTGCATTGGGTGAAGAACATTCTGTGATGTATCTGTGGTTTTTGAGTGTGGCAACGATCTTTGTTGCAAGGGAAAAACTAACCACTACATGGTAATCTTGGTGATCATGATGTTCGTGTGGTGCATAGGCATAGGGGGTGTGCAAATGGTGCACCATTACCAAGATGACGCACCCAAGCCCTCCCCCGTGAAGCCCCAGAAACAACATGACCAAGATGACAAGGTCGCCATAGGTTATCAAACTAGCTGGTTATCTTGCCCCCAACCCCCCCCCGAGCGACCAAGGTAACACGATTACCAAGATGACCGGGCATCTCGCCCCCCCAAGATGGCCAAGACAACCAAGAGGATCAAGGTTACCAAGAGAATTAGCGGTTCCACTTGCTTTGCCGGCACAACGTACTACTACACATACAGCTACACCTACAGCTACAGCTGCAACTGCTACTACTACTACCACCACCACTAGCACCACTAACACCACTACCACCAGCACCAGCGCTCCAGCACCAGCACCCTCACCAGCACCAGCAGCCACTGCACTAGCAGTAGCACTAGCGCAAGCACTACTGTTATTATTATTTTTATTACTACTACTACTACTACTAAATACTACTACTACAACTACTACGACAACTACTACGACTACTACTAAGTACTACTGCTACTACTATTACTACTACTACTAAATACTACTACTACTACTACTACTACTACTACTACTAAATACTACTGCTACTGCTACTGCTACTGCTACTGCTACTGCTACTACTACTACTACTACTACTACTACTAGCCACCCCCCTCTCAACTACACTTGTTCCATCCTGGCTACGCAGCGGTAGCTGCTAGGCGACTTAACTGCGACAGTTGCAGAAGATGCACGGGCTCAGGCTCCCTATCTGTGACAACTGCAGAAATTCGAGAGTCTCAGTTTTCTTAATTGTCACAGCCGGTGAAGTTGCAGGGGCTCAGGCCCCAAAACTGCGACAGCAGCTGGAGTTGCAAGCTCGACGGGGAAGAAACTGCTAAACTGCAGGTGGTCGGATAGTACGAAAACGCTGTAAATACCGTGCACAACGCAGGTGCTGCCAAGAAGGGTTTAACATTTCTAACCCCTGAAGCGCAACATCTTCTAAACATCAAAAACAAAGATGCCAGCTGTACGTGGGAAGGGCTCGCCAACACCCCTACCGCCCAACCTCGGCGTAGGAGGGTCTGTTTTTGAAGTGGTGTGTGTGTGTGTGTGTGTGTGTGTGTGTGTGTGTGTGTGTGTGTGTGTGTGTGTGTGTGTGGTGTGTGTGCGCGCTTGAGTGTGGAAACATTGTTCAGGGTGTCCGCAGAACAGTGTCGTGATCATCCCCGAAGAAGCTTTCCCCCAACCAATTTCGAGTTTTTTTTGCAAACAGTAATACGCATAGTCGAGAAGTAGGGGCTCAGAATATGTAACAAAGTCTGACATCACGAAAGTACCGTAAATACTGAGTTAAACGGCTCTTGTGGTGATACTGTTGGGTGTGTTCGTGTAACACTGTCGTCATCATCCCCCCCACCCCCCCACCCACCCCCAGAAGCAAGTCCAAAATCAAGAGCCCGAGTTTGCAAACTCGTCGACAAGTCGTTTCTGAGGCCTCTTATGATGATCGCACATGACGAAAGAGCCGTAAATACCGCGTAAAACGGATGTTGTCTTGACATGGTTAAGAGCAATTGCAGTTGGTAACGGGGGTACCTACTACTACTACTACCACTACTACTACGGGTACTACTACAGGTACTACTACAGGTACTACTACTACTACTACTACTACTACTACTACTACTAGTACTACTACTAGTACTAGTAATTACTACTACTACTACTACTACTACTACTACTACTACTACTACTACTACTAGGCCTTCCCCCCTGGTGCGACGCCGGTCGCTGAGTTCGTGGATGTACAACATGTTCCATCACAGCTGTCGCGGTCCAAGATGCGGCGTAGCAAGGACAAGGATCGTCCACACCGCTGCAGTAAATGTCAGCAGGTGGGACATAGAAAAGACAGTTCGAAATGTCCTTTCTACGATGGATCCGACGCCGGAGAAGCCGCAGAATGCTCTGTTGGCTAAGTTTGCACCTGCTTACTTGGAGCAAAATGTGAGAGGGAGAACATTAGTTTCGCTCAAACAACCTTGCTTGATGAGTGCACGGGCTTTTACAGAAGTGTCAGGTGTGCAGAAGCTTCAGAAGTTGGGCATGTTGCCGATGTTGCGTAAAAGACACTGCTGGAAGTGCGGCAGAGGCTTTTTCAAAATGCGCTAGACCATGGACGTCATTAGGTTTTGGACATGGATGCTCTCCAAACCAAAATGCGCTAGACCATGGACGTCATTAGGTTTTGGACATGGATGCTCTCCAAACCGAAATGCTCTAGACCATGGACGTCATTAGGTTTTGGACATGGATGCTCTCTAAACCAAAATGCGCTAGACCATGGACGTCATTAGGTTTTGGACATGGATGCTCTCCAAACCGAAATGCGCTAGACCATGGACGTCATTAGGTTTTGGACATGGATGCTCTCCAAACCAAAATGCGCTAGACCATGGACGTCATTAGGTTTTGGACATGGATGCTCTCCAAACCGAAATGCGCTAGACCATGGACGTCATTAGGTTTTGGACATGGATGCTCTCCAAACCAACGATTTGAATGAAAATCATGATCAAAATGAGGCCCAAAAAACCTTGATTCTGATCGCTAGGTTTTGGGCACGAAAATCGAGACACCCAAAAACAGTAAAAAATCATGAAATTCGCAAAGACAAGTGCTGTAAATACCAGCATTTTCGGGTGCGAGATTGATGAACAATGTTAGAAAATATGATAAAAATACACACGAAACCAGGAACAGTTGCCACTTTCGATAACTGCGGAAAAAAAGTGCTGTAAAACAAAGCATTTCCGACCACAGCAAGTCCCAAAAATAAGAGGTTTGGGCGTCGCACCGGGGGGGGAAACCCTACTACTACTACTACTACTACTACTACTACTACTACTACGACTACTACTACGACGGGTACTACTACTACAACAACTACTAATACTACTACTTCTACTACTACTACTACTACTACTACCACTGCCACTACCTCTTCTACCTGAACTACCTCTGGACTCCATTACGGCCACTACGACTGCAACTGCTTTCGGACAATTATTCCTTCAACTGGCCCCCGCGGATTCCGTCAACCGGGAAATGCGGATTCATTCCACCCCGAAAGCTGGGTCCTTCAACCCGGACACGCAGATTCGCTAACAGAATGATTCGTTCAACCCGCACAGAACCAGTTCAAGGCGCCGGTCATTCTTTAAGGGTGAGGGCTGCATTATATTACCTGCATTATTGAATCTGGGACTGGAAAAAGAGCCGCCGACATGCGTTGACACCATTGCAGGGTTGATTGAAGCGGGGACAGGGAGTTGACTGAATCACGACGTTCTGGCTTGAGGGAAGCGGCTAACTAAGTAGACGGAAGCTCGGTTGAAGAATGATGGTTGGTGGAACGGCGCAAAGTTGATGAAGAAGGCATCGACCCCTGCTGCTGCTGCTACTACTACCACTACGACTACAACTACGACTACGACGACGACGACGACTACGACGACTACTACTACTACTACTACTACTACGACTACCACTACTTGTACCACTACCACTACCACTACTACCACTACCACTACCACTACCACTACCACTACTACTACTACTACTACTACTACTACTACTACTACTACTACTACTACTACTACTGCTACTACTACAACTACTGCTGCTCCTGCTCCTGCCCCTACTCCTACTCAGGTCCTACTCCTACTCCTGCTGCTGCAGCAAGAGCAACAGCTTGATGCTAACGGTACCGCTGCTGCCACACCCACTCTGCGACTGCGACTGCCACTGCTACAACTTGTCCTTCAAATGGGAGACGACGACTACAAGTGCTTATCCTGGTGCTGCTGCAATAGCTGCAGCTGCAGCCAAAGTACAGCTAGTGCTGTTGCCTTCGCCACCAAGACCAGCGCGGCCCAACTGATACATACTGCAGCTAGTTAATAATGTTAGCTGCATGCTTCTTCTGGTGCGACGACGACTGCTGGCTTCACCCACTTACTGCGCTTCTACTTCCGTGACGACGATGCCTAACACACCGCAAATCAGACTTACTAATTTGGCTGCGGCTGAAAGTCCTGTCTGCTGGTGTTGCTCCCGCTTTTCTGCTTCGACTGGATCTGGCTGCGCTCTCTCACCGATCAGCAGCAGAATCTCATCGTTCATGCATTCATGAATATTCATGACGAATCTGATGTGCTACAAGCGTCGTACCAGGTAGGTAGTAAATCTGCGGCTGCTGTGCATTCAATCCGCACTCATGCCGAGTGTCCCACGACGACCTCTGCATCGCGTTCTTTGCGAGAGGCTCGCAACTCCTGCGCCGGTGGATGGCTTCTAGATTCGAACAAGGCCCGCCAGGACCCTGTTCCGACCTCAGGCATTCCTTCGTGGAGCCGCGAGAGGGCATCGAGGAAGACCAGGCACTCCATGGCGCCGAAGCTGTTGGACCTCTTTGAGACCTTCGCTGCCACCCGGAAAGATCGGATGCGACACTTGTGTCCGCACCTCTGCTCCAAGCGCATCGGCCAGATCCTCGTTGAAGACTGCTGCCTCTCAGAGTCTGAGTCTGAAATGCACTCTGATGATGCGATGATGCCGAGGTGCCTCCGCAAAGCTTCTGCAAAGGCTGGCCAGTTCGGGCGGAGTCAGGTCGTACAGATACCGGGGCAAGGCTTCTGAAACCTGAGCGTTGCAAAATGGCAGGTCTTTCTGTGAAACGAGTTATACGGCAACATGAAGCTGGATTGTCACTTCCGGCAAACCGAAGTAGGCAAGCATGACGCTTCCGGTGCAGACAGATATCGTTGACATGAAATAAAGAGCAGGATGAGCAAGCAGTAGAGTTGAGGGGAGGACGAGCTGCCTGAACGGCAGGAGACTGACAGAATCACGGACTGGTCTGAGCCTCGCACAAGTGCGAAAAGCTCTGGATTTTGCACCTGTTCCGGTATTGCGAGATCCTGATGCTTGAGGTGCCATGTGCTACCATATATCTTGGCCAAGCACGGGCATCCGCGCCTCATTTGGGCCAACTCTGACTTGCAGTTGCTCATTGTTGCTCGGATGTGGAGCTTTTATGTCTCTTCGAGATAAGTGCGACTGCGAGGCATAAGCGTCCGCAATGTGCACAAGCTCACGAGGGCGGAACTCTTGGACTCGATCTGCGATCAAAGGCACCATGCCCTGACCGCCACATGTTCTTCCCATTTTCCACTCGGAAATCGCTCTCATTCTTTTTGTGGCCTCGAGTAAGTCGCTGTCGAAGGCTTGAGCCTTTCCACAGGCGATTGCCATTCGCCGAAGGTCTTGTGCCGCGATCGGTTCCGTTTCCTGGCTCGGCTCCCAGCGCGATGCAGCTTGCTTGAAGCGAATGCACGGCCTGTTTCGGCAAGCACTCCAACGCCCTAGCCTAAGTTGGGGAGATCGACTTCAGACAGAGCTCAAAGCATGGACTGAATGACCCTGAGACTCTGGCCGACAGCTTGGCAAACAATGCAAAGTCAACCTGGGCGGGATCATGGTGCCTCTGTAAACTGTTGCAGTCCGCAGTCCATCGACTGCGGACGGCTGCTCAAAGCACAGTTCCATCCGGATGGGAAGTGCCCCACATATCTGGCCGTGGAGAAGGCTGATGCAAAGCGAGCCGCCTGGCACAGAAGCCCACGGGACCCGACTTAGCCCGCCACTTTCTTGGCTGAACTACGAAACAATGCCACCACAGAATGCGAGGAGCTATAACTATCTTTGGTGTTGTCACTGTTGCTGCTGTTGCTGCTGCTGTCGCCGCCACGGCCATCATGCAGCATGGAGTTTGGTACATCACCCTCCGCATCAGGCGGGCCGCGGACGTATGCGGACGTTACACCGAGATCTATAGATCTTTGAAAGCAGATTGGCTGCAGCTTGTGAGCCAGTGCCGAGAGCTGCTAAGATATGGCATGCCACATGGCTTTCCAACCTCCTCGAAGCGCAACTCTGAGAGAAGCTCTTCTGTGCGGGCAGCATATTTCGCCCAGAGGGCCTGGCAGGAGGCCCAGGCCCAAGGCCCTAGCTCCGCAAGACGCTCCAAGACGCTCTCCGTGTTCCCCCCGACTCCGACTGTCCCGACGCTTCACAGTCGATTCGCTGCAAGTTTCATGGCTGAGCAGGCATGGACAGCGAGAAAGGCGATTCTCTGTCTCTTCCACTCCTGCTCTGTGCACATACGCGCACCATTGATACCATGTAATATCAAAACCTGTAGCTGGCAGTTGTACGTGCGGACACATGTACGTTAGGTTACGTTAGGTAGTACATAGTGTATCCGGGCACCCAGAAGAAGCACCGCAGGCACGTGACATGCCAGTTTTTGGATCGGGGCTGATTGTGCGATTCTCGCGAGTCGCGAGCCTCCGTGAGGTCGCCCTCTGCAAGGGCCCTGCGAGCTGCGCGGCCCAGCTGCGCAGCGCCCCAGTGCTCGACTTCCTCCGTGGCGACGTGAAAAGAACATCTCTCAAAAGCGAGGCTCGGCTCCTGCAGGCCCAGGCCGCTTGGACGGGCGAGCGCCCGCAAGGCCGAGCGCATGGGCAGCGAACATCGACGACGCTTCTCAAAACTTTCGAAGATCTCCGTATCTGCTGCCCCGCTCCAAACTTCTCTTTGAGAGTGCCCCGGTGTGAGCTTGGTTCATGTGTGAGTCTGCCGGCTTTCTGCCGGTGCTGCAAGCCAAAACGGCATCCTAACAAACGACTAAGTCAGCAGTCCACAACCGTTATGCTGCCTAGCAGCTGAGACAAACGTCAGGCTGTGTTCACGATGCCGCGAATCTTCGAAGCGACGTGCTGCCCTGGCCTCCATGAGCAAGACAGCCACCTCGGGCGAGATCACCAAAGGCCCTCTCTGCTGTTCCACGGACAAACTCACTAGCTCCGGTCTCGAGGAAGAATCTTCCCGCCTCGGAAGTCTTATGTACATCAGTGGCATCATCTAGCTGCTGCAGGTGCATGGCATCCCACCTGTCCTTACGGTGCAGGGCAATTATTTTTTCCCGGGTCGCCGTGACAAAGCCCGTCCTTGCCAATCGTTAGCTTGTTGTTGAGCTCAATCTCCAAGGTATGATGAGCTCCCATTTTCACCCATTGATTCTCCTTCGGTGCGCAGTCTGTCAAGCTCAACGTGCTGACTGGAGGTTGCCGGGCACCGACGGCCGTTGCCGGATCATGATTCTTGAACCTTTTTCCTGCTGCATGGCATCTGGCCAACCATGCTGCCACTGCAGCTCGTTTAGAAGTTGGGCTGCAAGACTGTACAGCATGCCCGCGGCACAGGATGTGACAACTGCAGCGTAGCAGTCAGCGCTTGGGAGGCTCTTGCTTTCCAGACTCTGCCGCAAAAGCGCTAGACCAGGCTGCCAGCAATGAGAGCTTGTACATGCCAGCGTCGCTGTGTCAATTGACACAGCATCTGGAGTTGACAAGGCGTCGCCTCAGCTTCAAAAGTGTCAATGTCGAGGCGCTGATGTGCGAACAGTTGAGAATCGGACCCATGCATTCCAGCAAATGGCATGGCAGTCGCCACATCGCTGCCTGAAGGTTCTCAGGGCCTCTTGAGTACACAGGAACTGAAAGAGACACGGACAAGGAACACGCAAGAGCACCGAGAGGATTGCTTGCTTCACAAGGCTTGACGTGTCTGTTCACGACCTGTCGGTAACAGCCTGAAGGTACGAGCGTGCCCGATACTACACAATGCACACAAACGAGGAATGGATATAATGGATGCATCTCCACACCGCTCCACCCATGATTCCATGATTTGCTTGGGGACAAAGCGTTGTGACTGGCCAGCACGGTGCAATACGGTGCACCACTGATCTTCCTCTCGCTTGGCCTGCAATTTAATGTGCTGCTTGGTTGGGCGGCCAGCCCCCAGCCCTTGGCACTGTGTGGTCGCACACTTTGCAGGCAAAATCCAACAGCTGCTGGACGTTCTGTTCACCTTTGGCTTTTTGCGGCATTGTCACCGAAACATCCTCGTCCTCGTCATGACCCCCCACAGCTGAACAGTTAACCCGTTTACCAATGCCTTCTGCGCAGCAGACACAACGACGTTGTAACTCACGCGGTCAGGATCCACCCGCAGAGGTGGCATTAAGTGAAGGAGTTGCAGTGCTGGTTGCCAGAGGCTTCCTGCGACATGACAAAGGAAAAACTGTGAACCAATGAACTCAATGAACAACTGCTACAGATCCACAGACGACAAGAACCTTTTGATGAGAACATACTGTAGGCAATCCAAGCCCCTTAGAGATGTCCTTTCTCTAAGCCACTTGATGCTGCATTGAATGCAACTTCGTTCGGACTGACATTCGCAGTGGCCATGTCCTGGGCTGCTCATGAAGCCGCTCCTCTCTCCAATCTCACGAGACTACACCGTCAGCCCTCCACGGAGTCATCACTGACAAAACAAACCCCCAAAACTGTCCCCAACCGGCCGCACATGTCGCACCACAGCATCTATTGCATGTGCACACAAAGCACCAGCGAGAACTGGTTGTCATAAGCGAGACAACCTGGGACAGCATGCTGACTTCGGATCTGAGAAGGATCTGGTGCAGAGAAGGTGACCAGAGCCGGAACTGGCGGGAGGGTCTTGACGCGATCCAGCCGGCACACTTGACAGTCGCGTCCACTGCGCACATTCTAAGATCACTGCTTCGAAGGTGCAGGCTTGCAACACGCACGGTCGTGAAGCGGTGCTCACAAGCTACCTCTTCCATGTGGTGGGGTTCTTGATGATTCTTGCAATGCCATGGCAAACAAACGCTGCAGGTCTCGCGCCTGAAACATGCTCGTCGTGATTACCCAGGCTGATGATTGTGCGTTGGTGCGACAGGCGAACGTGAACAGGGAGTGCAGTGATCAGGGTTCCAAGTGAACGGATGTTATATGTCTTGACCCAGATTGCAGCAAGACTGAGCGCTTTCCGTTCCCATCTCGAGCGTATGGCAATTTGAAGGGTTCGACAATCGGAGAATCGTTTTACCCTCACGAAATCCCGAATCTGCTGTCAGCTCAGCAACCAGAAGCAATTCGAGCGCAAGCTGCCAATTTCGCGCAGCGCAGGCGTTGATTGCAGCACTGCAACCTTTCGTTTATGAGGATGCCAACTTCACCTCAACCCCTTGAGGGAGCCGCCGCAATCCCTGCAGATAATTAACAGACTGCCAGAGTGCACCTGCGATAAGCACCAATAGAAGCCGCGTCTTGCGCTTGAAATGCTTAGTCATAGTTTATACGGCCATGTATTGCCAACCCCTGCTACTGAAAACCCAGAGAGAGAGAGAGAGAGAGAGAGAGAGAGAGTGAGTGAGAGAGAGAGAGAGAGTGAGAGAGAGAGAGAGGGAAAGAGAGAGAGAGAGAGGGAAAGACAGAGAGAGAGAGAGAGAGGGAGAGGGAGAGAGAGAGAGAGAGAGAGAGAGAGAGAGAGAGAGAAAGAGAGGCGGAGAGGCAGAGGACTTAGATCCCGGAAAATTTGGAAAAACAAAAACATCAGCCCCAAACCCTTAATCTGCTGATGCTGGAAAAATACGTAAAATCAGCCAACAAAGACGCTGCAATGCATTGAGCTGAATCCCGTAGGCGTGGTGTATTGTGTAGACCCTGAAGTACATTCGGCCAGAGTGCTCACGACATCGCCATCTTGCCACGGGGCGGCCAGGACGAGAGCAAGCTGCCAGTGCCGCTCACAAGCAGTGATAAGCGTACTCCGTGTGAACTGATCTGGCTCCAGCCTTCCAAAGACTAGACAGCCGGGCAGTTCTAAAGATGGTGGCTTTCAAACACTTCTCAAAACACTCAAGCTGAGCTCAAACGTCCGACCAGGCTGTCACCACACGAGGCAAGATGCCTCCACTGCGGCATGCGCTCGAAAAGCTGCAAGGCAGCTTCCCACTCCAACGCCCGAGCACAAGTACCGACAGCTGCATTTACTGCAACCAGGCTCGGAGATGAGAGGGACCACTCCAGCAGGCAAAGTGCTTGCTGCCAGCGCCAGTCGATCGCTCGCAGTGTTGCGCTTGCCGTATAAGCATCCGGCTGCAGTCGTAAGGCTGTACCACTTGCAAGCTGAAGTACCGTCTGCCAGATGCTGCACCTTTGACTAGCAGTCAGTGCACTGTTCAGTCCTACAAGATCAATCTTGACGACCTTCAGCAGGAGCAGGGCTACACTCCACGCGGCCACATCTCCTTCTCCACAAGCTTTTATGACCGTGTTCACCGAGATTTGGTCTGGCCTGCATGCTGATCTTTGCAGGTCCTGAAAGACGAGGTGCGCCTTTTTCCAGTTTGCCCACCTGGCCGTCAGGGCCGCGTTGGTAACGCTCAACCGTTCGCAGCCGCGTAGGTCGAAAACTTGTCCCATCTTTCCCGCCAACGGGTTGAACGGTTGCATTAGGGCCAGGGTCATCATCTGCAAACACCGCAGCCATTGGCTTCCAGCCGCGACTGAAGTCAGCGCAGATTTCAAGTTGACGCTATCTGCATTCACTCTCCTGAGCCTCATGATTTCCAAAGCATCCACAGTCAGCCACCAGGAAGAGTTCAAGCCACATATGAGGTGGTTGTGCATGATCTGGTCTGCCAGGACAGAGCAGGCCTGCGAGCGAGCGGTGCAACTCCCGACGCGTTCATCGCATGCCATGGACTCTCTGCTGCTGCCGCTGCTGCCTGTGAGCGGTCCATCATGTTGCTCACGTGTTCCCAGGAAGCGGTCGAGACAGCCGCACTGTAGCTCACCTCGCTAAGCCTGCGACGTGTGCCGATCGCGCATCTTGTGCTTTTGAGTTCGGGTGTTGCCCAAGCCTAAGCCTCAGCTGTGCACCCATGGCGGAGACTTCGAGGAAGGCCCGTGACCAGGGCGAGGCGGCCAAGAAAGCGTTGTAAAGCGTCGAATCTCTCCTTGCCGTGTCGCAGATGCTCGCACAATATTTCACGTCATACCGCTTGCAAAGTGTCGTGACCACGGTCCTTATTCCTGTCCGTCGGCAGTCGTTATGCAGCTGCTGCGCTTTAGACCATAAGCTGTCCTGTTTCCCAGCGCATAGTCTTTGCAGAAATGATGCTGGCTGACAGCCTCACAACGTCCTTGGAACAAGAAGAGATGAGGGAGGTGTAGCTCAGCGAATCTGGTTTCCTGAGTTCGGAACTGCTTGAGCACTGACAACGTAAAGTTCGACAGAAGCGCATCCGTCATCAAGGCAAGTATCAACATCTTTTGTTTCATAACATCTAGGAGTTCGGCCGCCCTGCGCCATGATCGCCCTTTGTCGCATGCATCGAGGGCGGCATTGCAGTGGATCACGTTCGCATCCTCAGAACAGCTAGCATGGAGTCCCATTCCGGTTTTCTACCTCTGTACAGTTGCGACAGGTCAACACATCGTTGGCTTGCCCTGAAGAGGCTCGGAGTTGAGGTTGCGTCTCGTATCCTCCTCTTTAGTTTAGCTGCTGATACAGACGATTCAGCTGGTGCTTGTGTGGCATGGCCAGTTGTGTATTCCCTCGTTGTGCTTCCATGGCATGCAGAGCTGCAGGACCTGTCGAGTCATCCAGGACGACGCTAAGAGGACGGCCACTGCTGTGGCACACGTGTGCCAGTCAAAGCACGTGCCAGAGGGGCAAGGCAAGTCAAGGCAACAAGGCAGGTCTTGGATGTTCAGGGTGCGCAGGGTTCTCGCTGCTCAGCTCAAGATTCATCTCCGCTCTGTATCACACAGCAATGGCAAAAGACAACGTCATGACCTCAACAGACTTCCGTCGTGGGCTCCAGACACAGACACAGACACGGCTGCAAGGCAAGAGATTAAGCTCTGTTTGCTTCTGATCTCAAATCAGCAGAGAATCGACAGATTGATGTGCCATGACGGCCAGAACATCGGTGGCTATCGAAGGCAGATTTCTTCGCGCCAGGGCTTTAAGAAGGGCGGTTGCAAACTTCGGGGTGCGATGCCTTGCAAAGCAGTCGATGTGCTGTGGCTTTTCAAGTACACGGAGCACTAGAAAAATTTCCACAAGCCAAAACAATCAGCCTCACTGGGCAGAACAGAAGTGCACAGTGCCAGTGGCTTCGGACAGCCTACCCAAACCAAATGTCCGGAATTTGCCCAGATGCCACAGCTCCATCTCCTCTCGTAGTACAACAGCAACTTCCTCTTGCGAAAGCGGTCGCTCGGCCAGGTCCACGAGCAGTTTTTCCAGGTTGCCATGATTGAATCGCTTTCTTTGCATCGCGTGATGGCCGGGTACCACCGCGCTGCCACTGTGGCCACTTCGGCCGCAACCCACTCGCCGATCTTGCCGCTCTGGAGATCGCAGCTGTAGCAGTAGCGCCTCTCTGAGGGCAGTTTTCTGAGAAGCAAACGGGCAAACGGCACATGACCGGGCGAGGCCTCCCATTCAGGAATAGTGCTGCCACTGCCATTGCACGGCGTTCTGAGTGCACGTAGCACTCTGCACAGTCCCTGCTGTGACCATCTGTGGTCACGCAAAAGCTACGGAGAACTCGCGCTAATCATGTGTGGTCCACTTCGTGCTGAACTTGCAACAGCTGTCTCCCACCCTACCGATAAACAGCATGTCCTCGCAGTTCTTACCTGAATACCGTATGCAGTTTCCAGCGGCATCATACTCAATGGACTTCACCTCCCACGATCTCCCACGCAGATGAAATGCAATGCGACGCGAAGGTTTGGTCTGGAGCCGTGTTTGACTAGCACTTACTGAACAGGAGCGCCATGGCCCGGGCACCCTGGCCTCCACGGTCATCTGGATCCTTACACGCAGAGAAACATAGCCATAGCCCTGCCATGCCCTGGCCCACAAGGCTCTCTCTCGTGCCATCTCCCGAAACCTTTGTTGCGAGCGAGTGTCTTTCGAACTTCCGTCTGGACAGTACCAGTGCTGCCTTCTTTCTGGATCTGCAAAGCACGGCTGGACACACGAGCCAGAGCGTTCGCGATGCCATCACGTGGTGTGAGCACAGCCCGATGTCAACGGTCCGCTACCTTTTAAACCTTTTCCTCAGCATGAGCCACTGAGATGCCTTAAGCCGCCAGGATGTATTCGCTCGATTTGCTTCACAAGATGTCTGCACGTTCGCGGGCCGTCGGCCTGCAGCGCCCTAGAGCCATTGGCCCAACAGTTTGAAGACTTATAGATGTCGTCGAAGTGCAACCGCGCACGCGGCGAAGCACTGTGAGGAGCGAGAGTGGGACGATGCCTTGGCCTTTGAAGTCGTCTCCATCACAGCAAAAGCGACTGGCCATTCAGTGTAAGGGTCTCGTAGGCCGGGCTGCTCAGGGCTCAACGGGCTCGCTGCGCGCCGGATGTGATGCGGTCGCCTCCCCAGGCGCATTCTGACAATGCACCGCGACACCGGTCCAAGCAACGGCATGCCCTGTCAAAGATGCCCTGATGATCAAAGGCCAAGCCGCTTCTGCCGGCTTTTTCGCATCATATCTTCCAAAAAATACCTCCGCCTCATGCTGTCACATCTGCTTACATTGACATGACTTTGACATGCCAGGTCATGCAAAACCGCAGTCGTATGCCGCTCTATCTACTTGAATCCTTCAAGACTGCAGCGAATTCGGCGATGATCTGCAGTACTGCCACGCATACCATGCCGCCATAACATCTGAAGACTAGTTCTGCGAAAGAGGATCGGTGTAAGACGCCGCAAACCAGCACCTAAGCTCTGTCGTCCGTCGGAAGGAACCATCTGCAGCACTGGCGACGTGCTTCGTTCGTCTTCCAACGGCAAGACATTTAGATTGCAATCGCTTTCCTCAAGTGCGTATGTCGTAAACTACCGATGCTGCGATACATTACGCATTTGGCGTCATCTTTCGGCTCGGCTTGCCGGAGTCAGAAAACTTCTGCCCCAGACTTCGTCCCTTGCGACTCTTGCAGTCGTGGCGCCCAGAATGCAAGGCCGACGAGAGCATAGGCCGCATCCTTGCGATTTAACCGCTGTTGTTCCGCATCGATCCTTAACCTATGCACCCAGGTACGGCAAAAGCCTCTCTGATTTGTGGTCTGAGCCCAACATGCCCCGACGCCCCCCTCGCATCCTGTCGCCCTGGTGCATTACAGGGTCTCTCCGTATCCCTCTAAAGCCCTCCAGCCGCAGCTTCGCTTGCGTTCTCGATTCCGATGCTGCAACCCCTGGCCCCTTGCTTGCAACTTGCACGGGGCCATAGCTGCAGCTGGCTGCAGCTGAAATTGTCGAGTATCGGCTGGTCCACATGGGGTCGCCGTGCAGTTGAAAGCCTTCCTGAGCAAAGCGGCGAGCAAGGCGGAGACCAACGCGCCGCAAAGCGCAAAAAGCTCTGCCATGCTGTGCCCAAGGGACCAAAGGAGCTGCTTCCGAAACCAGTATACAACGTTGTGTTCACCTGCTGGGTGACCCCAGGCGATGATTTGCAGAAACCACGAGAACACCCCGCAGCAGTCTGAGAGGACGAAGAAGAGTATACCTAGGCTGAGGCAGAGGGGCGTTAAACCCTGTTTCGACCCGCAAAGACAAGGCCACAGAAGCAGAATGACACAGCCCGAGGATCAGTTGCTTCCCAACCTCGGAAGAACACGTGGCGCTGAACTCGGTAGCTGGCATTCCAGCAGTTCAACGCATGCAAATGGTGAGTGCTGTGGACCTTCCACACTTTTGCATAATTCACGAGAGACAACCATGACAGCCTCACCTCATAGGCAAGGCACCAGCGAAAAGGTGCGTAAAGCCAGGCCAAGCGAAGAGCTGCTCGTCCCCAGACAGTTGGGCGGTGTGCCAAGACGTCACAGGCGAAGTAAAGCAGTGCATACCTCACACTGTCTTCTCATCAGCGGCTACGAGTAATGACAACGCTGATCGCCGCTTATCGAGGAAACAAACCTCAGTGCGCTCTTTCGCTTCTGCTGTCACAGCCGTGCAGACCCCTTTCCTTGCTGCAATTCGGACCATGGTGCAAATAGAACGGATCCTACAAGACTCCTACAAGCAGCAGTAGGGCTGCTAAGGCTAAGGTGCATCAGGATGGCAGTGCCGGAGGTGAACAAGCTGTATGAGAGCGACCAAAGTCGCTTGTTCAAAGGCAGCCAGCCCGACAGGAAAATTCCGGCCGCTGTGCAGAACACCGCTAGCATTGCCCAGTGTACCATGACCTCCGGAGTAGACTTCAGAAGTCTCCAGGCGTGCCCGATTTGCAGACCCAAGAACATGGGTAACACCGCGCTCAAAGTCGTCACCATGCCCTGCAGGGAACACAGCTAGAAAATGTGATGAGCCAAGAAGATCACTGAGGGCCTCAGGGTCGAAGCCGAAGTTTGCGGCAGCAGTTGGACTCACATTGCTTCCGGCAATGTAGAGATGGTTGATGCCCAACACGCAGCTGTCCAGCCAGCCCACGCTGCTACATCCCATCCTGAGGAGTGAATAGTTTGCCAGTCCAAACGTGCCTCTCCGCGCTTAGATGCCATTCAGTCTCTACGATCTGCTTGCATGGCAATGCAATGCTTGATGTTCCGGCTTATCCTTTCGAGCTCACAGATCCTTAGATCGGCTTACCTCGTTATTGATATGCCGAAATGCAGTGGCACTAGCCCTTATTGACAGTTGACCAAGGTTCAGGGCCACTCTCATGTGTGGTGTTCCAATGCTACGCTGACGCCGTTTGTCAGTCATTCTTCAAAACCGCGACCCTTCCAAGGCTGCATGGTCTTGAACATTATTACCGCCCGAGCTTGACAGCCTGCATGGGGTCGAATGGTGCTTGCAGCCTCAGGAAGCCTACAGTATGCTTTCATTTCCGGAAAAGGCGTTTGGTCGCTTTTGGCCAGGACTTGGGCCTGGGCTGCAAAAATGTGACAAGCTGTTGAAGGCCAGGCCGAGCCCCTTCCCCAGCGGCTGGCGCTTTGGGAAGTTTGGGGATTTGGGATCGGCTCCTGTGGCTTCGGAGACAGGTCCTTCGATGCTTCGGTAGACGACACTTGAGACTTGCTGCTATGCGCCTGCGGACAAGGTTCTTGCGCAGAACCTCTGGATCTGGATCGCCAGGTCCGTAGAGCGTGCCGGAACAGGCCGGCCAGGAAGGCGGCGGTTTCACGACGTAAGTGAGCAAACCGCCGAGCCCGACGATCAGAAGCACGACCTTAGATGGGACCGAGACAGATGTCACAGTGATGTCACCACCTGCCCTGCGATTAGGTGACATTAGATGCCTCCGTGCCACTGCCCACTGCCACCGTGAATCCGCAAGAAGACGAAGACCCAGGTCAAAGCGGGGTCCTCCGGCCACACTGTCTCCTATCGATCATCTCACGTTCTGCATTTGTGAGCTTTACTCACCTAGTCCTTTGGCGCTGCGGCTGCAAAGCGGAAAGGTGAATCAGCATTGCTTGAGGCATGAACCCCGGCTGGATGAGTGTAAGGCTTCCTTCAGACTGCTGGTGAAGTAGTTCACTCTCACTGGCTCTACTGCGAGAGCCAGGGATGTAGAGATCAATGATCATGACCTGATCGGGCAGATTGCGGCATGATCTGGCAGCTAGCACTGACTCGCTGACTACATTGAGATGACCTAGATGAGACAATGCCGAGCATCCGCGAGAAACACCAACGCAATTCGCCTGACATTGGAGCGAGAGACCACCAAGCCGCGCATCCCGAGAGGCCCCAAGTTCTGTGAAGCAGACGAGATACTGAAGGATGCCCATGATGCGTAAGGTGGCGAGATCAAAAACAAGCAGTGGACCTGCCTGTACATCCGGAGCTAAACAGCACATTTTGGCAAGAACCGACAACCTGCCCACCTTGGTCACGTGAAAGGCACTGCCCTGGACAGCAAGACCTGGGTCAAACGGAGGGAGAGTCGCATCTCACAGTGCTGTTGCTCGAGTGTTGGGCCTACAAGAAAGAGCCGCAGCGACCGCAACAGCACCCGGCCAAGCACTGAAGCCTCGACTCAGCACCGCAATGACCGGAACGACAGTCAGAGTCGGTCAAGAACTCTGAGTGCTCCGCGCGCTGCATTGGATGGACCTGGGCTGACTTCCAAGTACTGTGCTGACCGCGAATGGCGAGAGAATTGAGGAGCTTGGCAGGGAGAGAGGCCGATCAGAAAGGTGGCTGACATTATTATAGGCCAGCTGCCGGAGAGAGTGCTGCACTGATGCCGGAGATGAGCAGGAAGTAAGGCATTACGAAGTCTGCGAGGTGTAGACCATCCCAGGCAGCATGCCCAATGCTGGGATACGCATCACCAGCCAAGTCCACAACCAGCATCACAGCCTGAGACGGCAGAGGAAGACTAGGCCATTCAGATTGAGTCACATGCAATCCTGACAAGGAATGCATGTATCGCTGTGAGCTTCACTGAGGTCTGCACCATCGTTATGCCTCGCATGACGTCCAGCCCAACCAATCGGCGCTTTGCGCTGCTAGAGGCTGGCACGGTGTGAGTCATGGCAGCGAGGTCAAGCTGCACGGAAACTGCGCGCACCCTGCGAGATTAATCTTCCTCCAGCAATTTCATGGAGCCGACAAACAAGCCACATGCACAGTGCACTGCAATCACACATGCAACGCCGCACAAGACTGCGAAATCCCACGGTTGCTCTTGGTCTTTCTTTCAGAAAGCTGACGGATAGAGGGAGAAGGATGGATTAGGCAGATGCCTGAGGCGCACCCACGCGTCTGGGAAGGTCTTAGCTTCCTTCTCTCCCTCGCACTCGCGCCGCGTCTTCTGCAAACATGCCTCTGCGGCAATTGCCTAGGCAGCATGGCTGGCCATCTTTACGCTGTGTGGAGTCGGTTCTCGTTGCGTCGCAGCGTTCTGGCAGGCCATCGCTTGCTGGCTTCGGAGTAAGGCAGCTTTGGGGCTCCGTGAGACATCGGCGGTCGGGGGCTGTGCTACAAATAACC